AAATTTTGACAATTAAAACTCTCCAAATCTAAATATTCATAATTTTATTTACAAATAGACCAATCAATAGAATGTGAAAACCTAAACAAAATTATCGTTACTGAATTATAATAAAATGCAATTAAATACAGTTTTTATACAAATCATAAAAATGAAAATGAGTATGACTTTTCGAAAAAAACATTAAACGAAAAGTTAGAATTATAAATATAATTGATAGGCGTTTTATAGAATAAAATTTTCTATTCTAAGTAAGATCACGATCGACTTTACACGATCTTCAGTCTGGTACTTCTTCTTGTTCACTTTCACCATTTTTTTGGAGGATGACGCTTTCCATAACTTTAAAAAATGATAAAATTGGACAAAAAACAACTGGAAATTTGTGTGTTTTTTTGTATAGCTCTTAAAGTTCTCCATAAAAAAACTACGTTCTCAAATCTATTAGCAGTGTTTAAACTAGAAAGCAGAGATCGGTACAGCGCGAAAATTTCTGATCTGACCCAGAAAAGTTGAGGCCAAGTCCGACCCGACTCGGTCAATCTTAAAAATTTCTGAGTCCGGCACAACGATGGAAAGTTAAAGCGCCAGTTCGGTCCGGCTCTTTTTAATTGTTTACGACCTCCTGCATCCTTAATGCTGATAACTTTGGTAGACAAATTGGTATAAATATGCTTGGAACCCAATTCTGTCATTTATATTTACATAACGTTTTGTTCTTACTCCTTCAACGTTTGTATGCACTAGATAAACCTGTTTATTCAGTGACATATTAGAAAAAGAAAGATAAATGTTACAATATTTTTCAGGAACATGTTTATACTAGACATAATGATTTTATTGATCTATTTAACAATGTATCGTCAACTAAATCTAGACTAATTCTTGATCGTCTTTCTGACACAATAAAACACATGAATTAGAAATATACATTTCTGAGAAAACTTAAAGGCTGGCTACACGCAAGATAAAGTAGTATTAATAGACTGCCGTTTCTGTTATGCTACCCAAAACAAGTCCTCAACTCGACTCGACAAAGAAAACTTGAGGTCCGAGTCCAGCTCGACCAGTCTTAAAAGACTTCTAGTCCAGCCCAGCCCGTGCCGATCTCTGCTAGAAAGTATCTCGAACTTTTGTTTGTTAGAAGAAAATATTTTTCATCTCATATTAATTCAGCTGGATGAGATCGATCAACGTTCGATAGCTGTGTTAGAAGTCTGTGTATGACATGGAAGATTTGTTAGTTTATGTATATATGCTGAGAAAAGCTGACTAGAAACGCTCTAGTGAATCTGCTTGTGTCTAAGTAATTCACTCGAAACTCAGCTAATCTCAAAGATGTACTCGAGTCGCATTTGTCTTGGACTGAGACTCGGACTCGAGATGAAAGACTCGATAAACTTGATAAACTGACTCGAGTCACTTACGAGTCAGCCGTGTGCAACTTGGGATTGTTACGACGGTGTTTATTATATTTATTATGTACCAGAAGAGAGAGAGATTTGAAAATATTCTAAGTAGAATATCGCGTCACAGGAGAGGATTGAAGAACTGTTCTTGGAAAAATGAATCAAGAGGAGGTTTTCCTGTAGAAAACGACTCGAAGTAACTCGAGTCAATTTTTAAAAATTAAAAATGCTGATTATAACTTGTTTTTCATAAAAATGTAGCTCTTAAAGTTCTCTGTCAAAAAACCATGTTCTCAAATCTATCAGCAGTGTTTAAACTCGGAAGTAGTGACGGAGCTACCAACAGGGTTAGACTGGGCTGAGCCCTGCCTAGAAAGCTCTGAGTCCCGCCTAAACAGTTTTTTAAAATTTTTCCTGAAATTCAGCTTTCAACGATGATTGGTACTTCTACAGAATAACCTTTTATTTTTTCTAGTGACGCTGCTAATCTTCTGACTATTTTTATTTGAACACTATCTCTGAAGTAATAAAAAATTTATTAGCACTACTTCAGACCGAACTCCAGAAAAGTGATGGGCTGAGCTCTGCCTAGTACGAAATTCTGGTTCCGCCGCTACTCGAAAATATCTCAAACTTTTGTTTGTTAGAAGAAAATATTTTTCATCTCATATTAACTCAGCTGGATGAGATCGACCAACGTTCGATGGTTGTGTTAGAAGTCTATGTATGACATAGAAAAAGAATATAGAAAAGAAAATAGAAAAGTATCTTAAACTTATATCGTATGTTTTATGTACAGTTTTTTTGACTAAACTAAATCATGGTAATTTTTCTTCTGCTTTTCTTTTGATACATCTTGATAAAGAAAATACGAAAAGAGAACGTCAGTGAATTCAAATTTCTCTTTCATAGTGAATGTTCTCGATATGACTATTTAAAAAAATATAAAACAGTACATAGTATTTCGATCGTATCAGAGTTTGCGACATTTTTGCAATGTATATGAAATTGAAAATTTTAATTTCCACTAGGAAAACATATGCGCCTATTTTAAGTCCACCTAGAAGAATTAGAAATAATCTTTCTGGTAGATAAAGTCGTACAGATTATTTTAATTTCTACTATAGAAGAATTGCTAGTGTATTTATCAGAAATATTTTTGCATTACTAAAAAATCAAAGTTTCAATAATTTCAATAACGATAATGATAGAATAATAACAATTTTAACTATTTGAAGAAACTACTTTTTAACTTGGATGATAGTTGGTTCAACAATTAAGCCCTTTCAATTTACACGGACAGTATTTTGTTACAATTTCATTTAATGTATGATGAAGCAACAAAGTGTGCATAAAATTATAAATGTTGGAGATTTAGTTGGTTTAAAAATCGACAGAGTAGATCGTACGAATATAATGGCAAACGTTTTACCATGTAAAGTCACTACTATTCGGTTGTCATCACACGATAATGTTATGTATCATTTATACACAAAAACAGGTATTTTATTATCAACATATTACATTCAAGACCGATTGGATTTATCCAAATGTGATTTCAACGATCTGCGACTTGTTGATTTGCCATATTACCAACAATGACCTGCATACAAAAAATTAAAATAATCTGTATGATTTTGTTCTCCAGGAGAATTCTGCTATAAGGAACATTTGAAATTTTCTCTAATTCCTCTAAGTACACTTAAAACAGACGGATATTTTAATCTTTCTATTACATATACACTGTATAAAATGGAACAACGGTTACCTCCTGAAATTGTGAAAGTTCAAAGAATGTCATGATATTGTCATTCACACATTTCTATGGACTAATTGCTCTGTTTCATTCTTGCTTTTAAAAATTACAATATATTAATCTTTCAGAAATATGACTGATAAAGGGAAAAAACAACAGATTACAAATTGGTTTCAAAAATTGACGCCAACGAATGATTCAACTCGAACTCCTGGTCGATTGCCCACAATGTCGAAATCACCATTAGTGGCGACTTCAAAATCGGAAAAAAGTGCAAGAACAAATTTGAGTGATATTTATAGTGCAACATCACCACCACGCAAAAAAAAACAGGATGTATTAAATACATCAGAAAAAAATGAACAAACACCAATAAATAGTAAATATTTTGTAGTGTAGAGTCTTTAGTACTACATTTTGTTTTCTCTATTTATCAAGAGCGAAAAACATTGGAAGTTTGTAATTCTGATGATGAAGAAGAAATCCCAAAGAAGGTAAGAGACATGTTTTTCTTGTGCATTTTAATCATTTTCTTTTGTTTTCTTCTAGCGACAACGTTCGCGTATGCATGTCATACGATCAGATGATGAAGAGGAAAATCGTGAAAATCATTCAAAAAATGGTATGTCAATATTGTAAGCTCTTCTTTCTTGAATTTATAGATTTAATAATTTAGATTTAATGGAATGTGATTCACCATCAACACCATCATCAAAAACGACAAGAAAAACACCATCCAAACGAAAAACAACGACAGTGAAAACTACAAAAGACGACGATGATTATCAATTAGAAGAAGATAGTATAGAAGAAGACGGTGGTGATGATGATGATGATGATGATGAGAAAGACATGGAAGTTGATGGTGATAGTGAGGCAGAAAACGAGAAAAAAGTAAGCTAATTTTTTTAAAACAATTTTATTTTTATGGATGAGGTGTATGAGTTTTTTTTTTCTAATTTAGTCACGTAAATCAAGGCCATCAACAGTGAGTAAATCGAAAAACGTTGCTACGGACAAGAAACCAAAAGAAAAAGGTTCTACCACTGAAAATGATGGAAAATTTAAACATTATCAATTAGAATGGTTACAAGACGGTAAACGTCAAGATGCAAATCGTCGTCTTCATACAGATCCAAGTAAGTGAGATGAAAATTAAAGTAAATAACAAGTATACGATTATTTTTTTTCTTATTTTAGATTATGATCCAAAAACTTTATACGTGCCTGAATCATTTTTGAATAGCATTACTCCGGTACTATTTCACTGTTTAAATTTGCTTTATATCAATTAAATTGAAAATTAAATTTTATAGGCAATGAGACAATGGTGGGTACTCAAAACTAGTTATTATGATACAATATTATTTTTTAAAGTTGGCAAATTCTATGAATTATATAATGAAGATGCAGTCATTGGTGTTCAGCAGCTTAATCTTTCATTTATGAAAGGTAAATGTTCTATGTTTGTATCTGAAATTATTAATCTAGTATTAATCTTATTTTTTATAGGTGAAACTGCTCATTGTGGGTGAGTTGTATGTTATTGATGTTCATCTAAAATTAATATGTCCGTACTGTCTTCTAGATTTCCAGAAAAAGCCTATAGTAAATTTGCTGATATGTTGACATCAAAAGGCTATAAAGTTGCACGAGTTGAACAAACTGAAACACCGGAAATGATGAAAACAAGAGTACATGGTAAATTAATTATTGTTTAATAGAAAGACAAAATACAATCAATGTTTTTTATTTATTAGAAACAAAAAAGTCGACAAAATATGATAAAACTGTTAGACGTGAAATATGTCAAATAACAACACCTGGTACAAAAACATTCAATACACTTGATAATGAAAATGTTTATCGTGAAAATCAATATTTATTATGTCTTGTTGAACGAGTGAGTATGAAAATAAATTTTTATTTCATAATTAATCCTTTGTCATTATTATTGTTCTTTTTTAAGCCAATTCAAGACAATAAAACATTTCAATGTGAATTTGGAATTTGTTTGGCTGATACGGCAGTTGGACAATTTTATGTATGTTTCTTTTTAAAATCTAAATAATGAGTAAGAAGAAAATGAACGTTACTTTAATTTAGATTGGTCAATTTGAAGATGATCGTTATTATTCTCGATTGCAAACACTTTTAGCTCAGTATCCACCCGCACAAGTATAAACAAACACTCATTCTTTTTCATGCTTCCATACTAGTTTTTAAAATCTTACATAAATTTTAGATTTTGTGTGAAAAAAATAAATTGTCTGAGAAAGTGAGAAAAATATTATTGTTGACACGTGCAAAGATGGAATATTTAATACCAAATAAAGAAATGTTTGAATGTGCCAAAGCTGTCGATGTATTACGTGATGGGAATTATTTTACAAATGAAAAGGGTGATATTCATTGGCCAGACGTATTCTCAGAAATATTTAATGAAGGTAAAGTCAATTTTAATTTATTAATAATTCTTCGAGACGAAAGTTCTAAGGAGTTTAAACATAGTTCAATTTCGATACAAACAGAATATAGCACTCTTCTTCTTACTCATTATGTCCCCGACTCACTCTTCTCATTTTCAGTAACTTTCTCATCATTGTCACGCAAACAGACGAATATTTGCTTGAGAAAGTCAATTGAATAAAACAAAATAATATTATTTTTCATCTACACATTTTGTACACAAAAAACGAGAACAAATTGATTGTTTTCTTTGGTTTTCTGTAAAAAAGATTCTATTTTGATTCCTCCCTTCCATTCATAGATACTATTCGTTTCTATCAATTGTATTGTTTATATTAAAAACTGTATTTTTTTCCACATTAATAAAAACGAATATGGAGTGACGTGAGTTCGCCAACCCGTGCTTAACCTAAAGAGGCCAAGTGCTTTGCCAAGTTAGATTTGTGTGAAGAGCTTGCGAGTTTAAAATCCTAAATTTCTCTTTGAAATTTTTTCTAGGCGACAAATATGGTTTACATGTTCGTCAATCATATCAAATGGCTATAAGAGCACTTGGCGGTTTAGTGTGGTAAGCTAGAACTTAACTTGAAATAGTTATATCAGACGTTCAAAAATTCATTTATAGTTTAATTTTCTTTTTCAAAGAGGAAAACTCGTACATTATGTTTAAGAACAGCTTTTCATGCCTTGATTGTTAAAAGTAGAAATGAAAACGCATATGAATAATAACAGTTATGATGGTTTTGCTTAAGAAATCGTTTATCTTATATTGTTTCGTTCATTCTTCACATAGGTATTTACAATATTGTTTAATTGACAAAGAACTGTTATCGATGAGAAATTTTTCGATATTTCGACCGGCTGACAAAAATATTGATCTTAAAGAAGCAAATGGTATTCAACAAAAAAATATGGTAATATAGAATCTGCTTATTAGTAACATTAGCTATTTTGTTGCCTTCTCAAGATTTTGGATGCAACAACATTGTTTAACCTTGAAATATTGTGTACAAGCCGTGGTAATAAAGATGGATCATTGTTACAAGCAGTCGATAAATGTTCAACTCATTTTGGTAATGATAAACGTTCACATGTTTTTGAGTATAATAAATATTTTTTCTCGTTTTCGTCGTTTAGGCAAACGATTATTATCACGTCTATTAGTCAATCCACTATGTCAAGTGGAAGATATAAGTATGTGAAGATTGAAATGATATTCAAATCATAGTGTTTCTGTTTTCTCTTGTGTAGATGACCGTTTAGATGCAATTGACGATTTGCGAATAAAATCTGACTTATGTGCGAAAAGTCGTGATAAATTAAAAAATATTCCGGATTTAGAACGTTTATTTTGTCGGTCAGTATTCTAGTTTAATCGATTTAATCAGTCAGATTGTACTGACGAACTATTGCAGAAAAAAAACCAATCTTTTCATAAAAAGATAGTAAATTATCCTCATCGTTGTTTTTCCTAATAAAAAACAACAAACAGTAAAGTACTATAATATTTGTTTTTCTTCAGAATACATACACTTGGTCATCGACCATTGAATGACAATCATCCAGAGAATCGTGCCATATTGTACGAAGAAATTACATATAGTAAACGGAAAATAATGGATTTTTTATCATCATTATCTGGTTTAAAAACGGCAAATGAATTAATAAAATTGTATGAAAAATCAAATTTCCAATCCACCTTAATTCATTCAATGACAAATCGTGTTTTAATCGACGATGAAAATTTACATTTATTATCAACATGTTTTCCTGATATTGATGAATTATTAAAATTCTATGATACGGCATTCAATCATAAACAAGCGAAAGAAGAAGGATGTATTACACCGGTGGCAAATGTGAATGCAGAATTTGATCAAGCTATTAGTGATATTAAAGATATACAAAAGGAACTTGATGATTATTTAAAAGAACAAAAGAAAACATTGAAATGTCAAGTGAGTTTTAAAAGCAATATACGTTTGTATATAATATTTCGAACTATTTTATATCAATATATTCTCTTTTAGACAGTTAAATATGTTGATGTATCAAAAACACGTTATCAATTGGAAATTCCCGATTTTGCATGTAAAAGTCTTAATGCTGATTATGAAATACAATCATCAAGAAAAGGTTTTAAAAGGTAAGAGTATAAAAGAAAATGAAGTAGAAGTAGAAATTAATAATTTTTATTTTTTTCATTCATTCATGACTATGACACTATACCACTTTAACTTATCATTAAAACTTGACCATTACTTGACAAATATCTTTATGAATTTATTTAAGATATCATACAAGCGAAATATCTGATTTATTGTCAAAATTAGTTGAAGCCGAAAATAGAAAAGATATTGCTTTGAAAAGTACTATGAGTAGTTTGTTTCGTCATTTTGATAAACAGTAAGTGTTTGACTAAACAGTTTAGACTATTATATATGTATCTATCTCATTTTGCTTTAGTCATCGTATATGGAATCGTGTTTTGCAATGTGTTGGTATGTTAGATGTACTTTTAAGTTTAACAGCATATAGTGAATCAAGTACAGATATGTGTCGACCAACATTATTAAACACTGATTTGGACTGCAATACACAAGTGAGAAGAAGATACTTTTATTTTTAATGATGAAGAGTTGTGAAATTGCTAATGTTTTTTATATCATTTATTATTTTAGCCTTTTATTAATATTAAAGATGGAAAACATCCTTGTTTGGCAAATAATTTAGGGTCATTTATTCCAAACGATATTGTCCTTGCTGATAAAGTGAGTTGAACATGATCACAAGTTTTTTTTAGAATAATTTTACTTTTTTATTGTTTTGTTTTAGTCGTCTGATCAAAGTTGGCAAACAAAATCAGTTGTGTTGGTCACGGGTCCGAATATGGGTGGAAAATCAACACTCATGAAAGAAACTGGAGTGTTAGTCATTTTAGCTCATTTGGTTCGTCTTTCATCTTAGCAACTACATTATTAATTTTCTTACTTTCGTTCATTTATCATTTTAGGGCAGTTATGTTCCTGCTTCATCGTGTTCAATGACAGTCTGTGATCGAATATTTACTAGATTAGGTGCTGCTGATAGAATCATGGCTGGTGAAAGTACATTTTTTGTTGAATTAAGTGAAGCATCAGCTATCATTCGACACGCTACGAATCATTCGTTAGTTTTGATGGATGAATTGGGTAGGTAAAAAAAGAGCAAATTTTCGCAGTAATAATCACTAAAAACGCTTACTCGTTTCAGGAAGAGGAACAGCTACATTTGATGGTACAGCCATTGCTTGTTCGATCGTTCATGATTTATCTAATCGTGTTAAATGTCGAACATTATTTTCCACTCATTACCATACATTAGTGGAAGATTTTGCCGAACATCCAAATGTCGGTTTGGGCCATATGGTAAGCGTTTATTTTGTTAACGAACATCTTAGTATTTTTTACAAATACTTTTATTTCAGGCTTGTATGGTTGAAACGGAATCGAATTGTTCCACAGATGAAACACCGTCAAAAGAAACGATTACATTTTTGTATAAATTTATCAATGGCCCATGTCCAAAGAGTCATGGTTTTAATGCAGCACGTACGTATTATTTTTTTCCCACATATAGATATATCTTTTCTTACGATAAGGCTATTTTTAGGTTTGGCTAATATTCCAGAAAAGGTCGTTCAATTAGCACAAAAGAAAGCATACGAATTTGAACGTTGGATTACATTAAAACGTTTATTGTCACAATTTAAACGTAGTAGTACAACTCAAGTCGATGATGATATTTTAAAAATAATTGCAAATTTGAAAATAAATATTTTATAAAATGAAAATAATTGAAATTCAAACTGTCCTAGTCATTTTCCATTCTTCTTAAATGAAATATATTTTTTGTTGTTATATGTGTGTGTATGCAAAAGCTTGATATTTTTTTATATATGTTTGTACCAATACTTTATGCTCTCTTTTTTTTCTCTATTTTTGTTTAAAAAAAACTCCTGTGTTCTATTTGCTTGATATATCCATGAAAATAAAGTCTTTATTTCTTCTAATGAAAATGGCAAGAAAAAATTGATTATCATTTGGCGAAGGACTATAATGTAGGAGTAAAATTTTGAAATAATTGGTTGTTAGCGCATATTCCCGTTATTCCATGGCCATTATTACTACCAAAAAAATGCAATTATTCAATATTGAAACGAAAACGAGTTAAAAACTGAAGCAAACATGCAGAAATCAAAATGCATCGCGTTGCTCATATCTCTCCTCAGATATCTTACCCTGTTATCAATCAACATTAGGTACGATTAAAAAGCTTTGCCTAAATCTGATTGCTCGTATTAGCCAGTTTCATAAAACACACATTTAATTAAATAAAAATTTTTCATTTTTATGTAACTTCTGGGTTGAAAAATTAAACATCCAAGTTTTCTAAATTTTATGAAATTTGTATTTTCAAGACGTCACATAGGTCTCTTAGCGAGATGTTTAATTGATTAGTTGGTATAGGTGTCTAAGAGACATGTCGTTTCAGGTTCAATTAATTAGTTCCTTAATTAATTGTAGTATTAATATGTCACTGAGAGACATGTAACATTAGATAATTGGTATATGTGACGTAGAGACGTGCGTTGGTGGTGTTTTAGTTGAAAATAATGATTTATTTTAATTAAAAACAGTATCAGTGTGTCTCTAGGTGCTATGTGAGGCTCTTCGAGACACAGTGACTCAACCAAATAGAGGTACCAATATCTCACTAAGATAGGTATGAGTTACTTAGAGACATAGACTGATTCAAATAAAAATATGAAAGTTTTTATTCTAAAAGTGTGTAAATGTGTGATTTATGAAGACAGGATATCCCGATTGTCCTCTATCGAGAAACTTGTGTATACAGCCTTTACTCTAGACAATAAACTTTATGATACTGGCATCACTTAGAGAAAGACAAGATCTCAAAAGTCATACATTACAGCTTATCTGTTACACTTGATATCTCTCGAGCTTTCTTTTTGGCTTTTTTATTTTTTGAAAAGATAAGTTTAAAAGAACATCGCACTTTAACTGTTTGCACGCACAGCATATTTGAAAAAAGCTAATCGAAACATAGAAAAAAACAAACTAAAACGGAAGCAGATAAACGCTATGACCACTTTACATCGATGACGAGATAAACACATCTGGATAAGAGGGAGGGTATATTACAATACAGAAGAAATATCTTTGGTTTGAAGACAAGTACAAAATGAAAAATAATAGTTAAAAAACAACAACTTCACTTTGTCAATATACACTGAAAAAAAAGAACATTTACATCAACTTCAAGCATGATCAATTGAAGATAGTAAATCAGAGACCGGAAGACATGACAATTATAAGTCAATCGAGACATTTCTTTTCAAAATCCTTTACATGAACTTTTGTACAAACAGAATAAACATGCTACGACATGCGACATAAAAGTAGAACAAATGAAAAATTCAAAGTATGCACGAAAAACCAAACGTTGCTTGTTAAAATTCCAACTTAACAAGGACAACCACCTGAATTGCTTGGTTTTTCTTCTTGATGTGGTATTCTGATTCTATAATAAACACAAACAAAATAGTATAAACAAGACGGTTATAGTAGCAGTCTAGAGCTTACGGTGTTGGAAAATCTGTGTATGAATCTTGTTCTTTTTCTCGGGCTAATGCATTTCGTGCCACTGTTTCAAATGATTTTTCAACATTGACACCTTCTTTGGCACTAGTCTCAAAATATGGAATAGAATTCTTGTCCTGACACCAACTCTGTGCTTTTCGTGTTTGGATCTAGAAAAACAGAAAAAGTGTAAATAATTCATATCTTACAATAAACAAAGTGAAAAGTTATAGATTTGTTTGCTGATAAATATATAACACAAATGTCCAAGATAAACGGCTTAAATGAAAAGTGAAAAATAATTACCACTCGATTTTCAAGATCAATTTTATTTCCAATAACAACAAATGGAAAATTCTCTGGATCTCGTGGGCCGGATTGAATGAGAAACTCATCTCTCCAACTTTCTAATGCTTTGAAACTGTTTGGTGCGGTGACATCATAGCATAATACACAACAATCAGCACCTAAAATAATACAAAATATAAAGTAGTCTCAGTTGTTGTGTGATGTTCGGCAAGTGAGTACTTACCACGATAGAACGCAACACCTAAACTTTGAAACCGTTCTTGGCCAGCTAGAAAAAATCAAAAAAATTTTAAAATACGTATTAAAATATCATACATTAATTAAAGAAACGTAAATTTCTTTAATAAAAATGTAGATAAACAGTGAAAAGCTATTAATAATATCAAATCAGCTAAATAATGATATATTTCATGAAAAGTTCATACTATTCTACATGAACATGACTCACCGGTATCCCATATTTGCATTGTCACCAAACGATCATCAATTTGTACTTCCTTTGTTAAAAAAATCAGCACCAATTGTAATATACCCTCCCTCTTATCCAGATGTGTTTATCTCGTCATCGATGTAAAGTGGTCATAGCGTTTATCTGCTTCCGTTTTAGTTNAAAAATCGGCACCAATTGTTGCTTTATATTGATTTGTAAATTTTCGATTTACAAATTGATTCATAAGTGATGTTTTACCAACGCTAAAATATAAGGAAACAAGAATTGATACATAATTATTAAGAGAGAATAAGAATTTTAGACGTACCCACTATCACCGAGAATAATAACTTTTAAAAGTACCTTCTTACGAGTAGCCATTATTTTAGATATCTGAAAGGAAATAGAAACATAAGAGTTTAGGTTTAAAATAGCATCTTTTAAAGTGCCATATAATAATTTTCAAAACTTATTTTTACCAACTGAAATTCAAACAGCTGTTTTATTAATAAAATTGAGAGTTTTTGGACTATGA